ATACACATACACATACACATACACATACACATACACATACACATACACATACACATACACATACACATACACATACACATACACATACACATACACATAAAAGCATAATGGGGGTCGTCACGAACCATACACATACACATACACATACACATACACACACACACACACATACACATAAAAGCATAATGGGGGTCGTCACGAACCATTCCAAGTGAATGCCATGATCAAGAAAACATTTGAACGCAATATGCTCTTCCAAACCATAATACAACGAAGGCTAACAATGGCGGTTCTCTACAGATGGAGCGATCAAAATTGCAGGTTTCGAAGGGTTCGTGACAACCGCATAAGGGAGGTTTAGTCCTCGCAGCATAAAGGCCCTAAAAAAACTCCTTAAATTGCTGTTTTCATATTTTCTTTGTAGAAACGGCACTTTTCTGCCGAGAAAAATCAAAAGAGATTCTAAGGTCTCTCAAAGTTCCCGTAAAGATGCGAACTCAAAAAATACTGTGTCTATAATTGTCAATTTATTTGTTTATATATTCGATCCCAAATGTTAATAAAAGCACAATTTTAACCTTTTTTATTTGCGGTTGTACTTCACAACGCAGTATGGTTTAGTGGTGGTTAATTAAAGAGTGCCACAACTGTTCTCGAGTTCAAATCTAAGACTATAGAATAACTCGATTGGGAATTATCTACAGTTGATACGGAATAACAATTGACACTATATAAGTGATGTTATATAACAGTAGCGGTCACTTGACATAGCAAAGAGCGATTCGATCTCTAAGCATCACATACTAAACAGTTCCAATATAAAAAAAAAGTTGGAGCAAAAATTCACTGGAAATGAGCCTTTGACAGTATCTTGCATAACTTATAATAAAAGTTAGTAATAAAAAATAGAAAAAACTGTTAAAAAGAAGCCATGAAAATAGTTAAAACGTTTGGAGAAAATTTATCCAATAGCCTGTCAACAATTCTTTTTAAAAACTATATCAATTGCGTTCGATATTGGTCTCGCAAATATTAGTTTGCGGTAATGGCTTGTTTTTAAAAATAAATTCAGTCAAAAAAAAAGAACACCCGATTTTCCTAAAAACGCCTACATGAATTTCTTTGTAACTCTCAGGAACATTAGGTGTGTCTGCCTAGTCAAAGAAGTCGTTGAAAGGATTTTCAAAGTTTTTTTATATTTATTCATAATCAATGAGGCCGATATATATTATCGACAATTTATGCAACAGTTTCACCAAAATATATCGCATAAATTCTTGAAATTTATAACAAATTCATTCGAATGAACAGACATATAATGCATGGCTTTGACTTTGGTCAAGGAAAACAACAACGAAAAACTTTCCCTGAGTGATTGAGTTATTTCATTTTTTCATATCTATTCATGGTGCCTTACAATCACGAGTGTACATACTTGAACTACTAGTATGTTGATAATTGTTCTTATTTTTGCTTCGAACTGAAAACTCACCCTTTTTTTCCCGATTGGGAGGGATGGCGGATACGTCTTTGGACGAGCGTCTCTCAACAACAGTCTGTAGTCATCTTCAGTTAGGCTCTCGACGTCTTGAATAAGAATGGCGGATAGCAGGGATAACATAGCGAGTACGACCAGTGCTTTTGGAGCCATAGTGAACTTATTGCATCAAGTGGAAGGTGTGAGCAGGGACACACGAAATTCTCATTTTATACTTCGTCATCTCTTTCTTGATTGGCACTTGATAAAACCCATTTTGATGAACCAATTAGGGCATGCGCAGGGAGATATATTAAACACTTATTCTTGTCCAAATTAGGTGTATATTKCAGAAATATCCTCACGGAATTTTCAAAGATTTCAATCAAGCTTCTGTACTACGTGTAATACAAACAATKTAATTTTTAACTAATTCAATAATCGGACGAGTCCTTAATGGTTATTTGCTAGTTTTCATTTTGTTATGAACAGCTCATTTTATTGATTGTTTGGATTGACATTCACGTGTACACGAACATATGCTGCTGGAAACCAGATTGCACTATCATCACACCTGTTGTTATCAGGACCAGTAACAGCTTAAAAGATACTCATGGGATCAGGAATCAGTGAAAAGACGTAATTGGGGATCATGGACGAAAATTCTGTATGGACAAAACGGGACCACGAGAAAAACGTATACTTTGATTTACCATACGTTTACATTAAATCAGCTTGTTCCAAAACAACGGTGCGGTATTTTATGTAGACATAGCCTAATGGCTTAKTGTCAACTTTGGTAAGTAGTCGTTGTCGTTAGTCGACAAGAACTTCCTTAATTCCAATTACGTAACGGACATGCGTAATAGTGTTTTTGGTGACTAGATGAAAGTCTGCTCTAGACAAATATTTAGAATTAGACGCATTCTCCTAGGCTAATAACAAGTGTAATGTTTTGTAATTGTTTATATTTTGACTCGTCTCACCGTGAGTTTGGATCTTTTTGTATGATTCAACGACGCAGCCTGTAAATTAACCTATATCAAACAGGGTGTGCGATACAGCAAACAGCAGATCTGGAGCTAGGACAAACGTCAGACTTAGAAAAACTTCCCAAAAATGTGCTTAGTCTTGATATGCTCAAAGAGCTCCCCTCACTCAGTCGTGAACYGATAAAAGAATAATGAAAATATAGTTCTTTTAGTAGAAAAAGTGACACATAGCGTTAATGCCCAATAATATTTGGTCAATTTGTAGACAAAAAAAATCTTGAATTTGAATAACAGATCATCAATTTTTGCACAAGCTGCATTTGATCATTTCATTACTTGCCTTTTCTGTTCTTTTCTCCTCTTTTTTCTTTCTTTCTTTATTTTTTCGTTGTGATTTCATTATTTCAGTTTCCATTCACACAAGGAAAACGCAAAAGTTATGTTGTTAATTGGGACAATTAAAGTGGAAATATTGTATTCGAACTCCAGAATCGTTTCCTTAATCAAAAACTTGGGTTTCCTAAAACGATGTTTCAGGCCTCGGAATTATAATCATTTCTATGGGACAATTGTAGTGAGTGCATTTGATTTTCGTAATGATACTCTTAAAGAATTTCATGATTGCACGATCATTTATTACTTTTATTTATTTCTGGTGCACGACTTTGTATTCAATAAAAAAAATCATTTCTTAATTACATCAAACTAAATCTGAGGCTCTGATTCTAATCAATTGATTTCTTAGTCATTCATGATTGAGTTTCAGAATTTTTTTGTGTATTCWTCGTGGTGGTGGTCTAACATCCAATGGCTCGGGCTGTTTCACATATRCTTCTTGCTTCTTCTCGCAATCGTAGTGTCTGAAATACAAAATGATTTTAATTACACTAATGTTTATTTATTTGATAATAGAATAACCCAACTGAATGATCAACTATATCAGAATGTCTTGCGTATTTCCTGCTACTCTCTCTTTGAATTTCTTACAAGRTTAATAAAACAACTGGGTCAATTTACATTACTAAAGAAAGTGCGCAAAGCATTCTGGTGTTTGTGGTAACTAAAGCAATAATCGTCCAWTAGGGAGGCACTTATGAGTTAACTCATGTACTATCTGATCAATCAATCCTACAAATTTCACCAGAAAATAACAGAAACAAAAGCAAGTGGACGCAGTTAAGCTAAAAACTCTTTTCATAATATATTCATTCAGTTTTATTAAAAATCCAGCGTTTGGTTATAATACCTTTGTAAAATTAGGAATCTATTATGCATTTATTTACATAGTTTATATTCATCTATATCAAAAGTATTATTTTCGTTAAAAATAAGTCACTTGTTAGTTGAATATGAATATGACAGATTTTTTGAGTGATACGTTTTGAACTTCATATATTAGTATTATTAAAGTATTATTTGCGTTAAAATTAAGTCACTTGTTACGGTGAATATGACAGATTTTTTGAATGATACGTTTTGAACTTCAAAATATCGTAGATCCGAGTCGAAGCTGTTACGATGAGCCGAGAATGGCTGGTATTTCTCACGGTGACGCAAAACTTTGTTTGTTAGTTCTCTTATGTCAATACATTTAAGTGATTAGCCGGAGTATTTTCCTTTAGCTTTCCTTTGTTTTTGTGTTTATGCTTATGTCGAGCGCCAGGTAAAAAAACAATCTTGGATAATTGATTTCCTACTAGTAAAAAGTTAGTCGGAAATCCGGCTGCATATTTCARCAAATCTCAAAATAAAAATTCACTTTAAATAGTAAATTGTTTCGAAATTGAAAACTCCTCATTATCAATCAAAAGAAAAAAAGGAAGATTTTGTATGGCTTCTTGAAATGACTCTGGCTAATCACAGGATATACATTGTTCCGCCATTTYTCGATTTAGTGTTTATGCAAGGTATACTCACCCTCTTTCGTCCTATAGGCAACGACTTAAAATGGTGATTCGGAGGAGAGTCTCTCAACAATCTGTAGTCATCTTCAGTTAAGCTTTCGACGTCTTGAATAAAAATGACTGATAGCATTGAAAGAAAAGCAAATACCATAAGTGCTTTTGAAGCCATGATGTACGTTCTGTCTCAAGTGGATWGTTAAGGTGTGTGTCTAGGCAGATGACATTCTCATTTATATATTGACTGTCACTCACCGTGCTTCCTTGATTATGATTGGCTAAAACCTTTATTGACACATTGAGTAATGTGTGTGGAAATCGCCAATGATCCCTCACTTAATTAGGYGTACGGAAGRATCCTCCCGCAATTGTGGACTTTAATCAAACTTTTGCACCTGTGAAAAAAGCAACGAGGCTTTCAATTTAATAATCGGTTGAGTACTCAAGAAAGTGGCTATGTGATTATTGACAATAAGTGATAAAGTTGAGCCCTGCACGAACTATTAAAACACCTGCTAATTAAAACTTTGCTTGTGAAAAAACGTTTTGGGAATGTTATGACTTCCGGGCGTTTGAAATCGGTCTTTTCATTGACTMATMGGAAATTACATCTTGATAAGACAGCTACTAGCACAAGTAGCCGCTGTCCGATATTTTCATTAATTTACCAATTCAAGCGAGTTTCTATTTAATCTATATGTTTTATTCCCGCTTTGCAATGTGAGGTTCTTCCGTCTTTTTGACCACATATATTAAAAGTGGTAAAACCCTAAGTAGAGGACGGCGTAAAAAGTGGTGGTATTGATTTTGCACTCATTCGCGTCAATTAACCATCTTAAAATGAGTTKGGGAGGAACACAACAGCCCGGGGAAAGAAAGTTGACCTAAAACAAATAAAAGCYYAAAAGCAAATTGAAAAATGGGAGAAATTAAATRGGAGTGTGAAATGAAGTCATATTTCGTACCAYTCACTGTCTTTTTTCAACCAAATCGTAAAAAGTCGTATTTATATTTTAACTTCAATTTTTAATTTGTTTTAATATCTTGAATAATTTTGTGAACGATTGACGTTAACATTAGGATCATAAACATGTTTTTCTTGGCTTAGACGGACTTTATTAAAAACACGTCCATGTATTTAGGAATATTTGTGCAACTAGAAATTGTATATTTTATAACATTTGAAGTTTGAGAAATCCGCTTGGCAGTTTTATGTATATAAMAGTATACCCAGACAAATGTTTTGGGCGCTTGTAAAATTTTATATACTATAAAGAGAGCAAGGTGACTAAAAGTATTCTGTTAGCATTGTCGTTTCACGATCTCATTATATATTTATCCTATCTATCTTTATCAGTTCCGAGTGTAATTAACCTACGCTTGCATTGATAATTCAACGTTTCCCTTTAGTCTTTCTGCTTTTTTTCTCTTTCTTTTTAATTTGTAAAAGTCGATCTGTTTCTAATTCATACGATACAAACAACGTTACCTTCTCTCAGTATGCAATTGGCAAGCCCTTGTTTTTTAGTGTATCGAAATATCTCTTAAAACTATTCAACATGACAAACATTCAGCGATATATTTCTTTTATTATTCCAATTGCTATTTTTTATAAGACTGATGATTTTTGAATTATTGAAAATCATCCAAACTTGAGGAAGAYGCTCTCACATAATCCCTGTAAGTAACCACATCTCATCTTAGAAAAACAAGTTGTACAATTKAAAAAAGTGTTTTTCAATTGTGACACTCATAGATTATAATCTACAAAACCATCTCGTTTGGTCACAATATTYTACATCAAATATTAATCACATAAGTTAGTAATACCAATTAAAATGAGTTTACAGAACGAGAATTGGTATTTTTCTAGCAACGTCGGATCGTCATGTTTAGCCACGTAAACAAACAYATTGGTGTAACAGGAAAACRTCGTAGTTATATTCCAAGTCTAAAACATCGAAAATRTATTCAAAACCAATGTTTCCTTTATTTCTTTTTGYAGCTTCAAGTTTTTTACTCCTGTTAAAAGATTAGCGTCCTTGACTGGTTATTGATACGTGACGTGTACTCAACTTTCATTCTTAATTAGCAACTATGTTTGAAAGAGCTGTATCGATATAACTATCAGGTGAACTGATGTTTGGGTTATGTGAAGTTTCATACAGTTCCTTATTAGTGATTTTCTCTGCCGAGTCCCACTTGTCATATCATTCATGACATTGTAAAAATCTTTTGCTGTTAGTCCAGAAATATATTAAATAATACACTTCAGTTGAATAACAATACTGTACTGTGAGAATTTTAGCAAGCTAATCATTTATCGCAACTGGAACTCAGGATTTCAGGGCTTATTTTAAATTGTAAAGGTCTGGACGCCTGCTGATTGTAAGCATGTGCCGAAATTGCCGTGTCTCAATTGTCATTTCGTAATGAAATTATGAGATTTGGTCCAAAATGCTAAAGACGCAACAGGATTTTTTTGAAAAGACTCAACGTAAAATTGATTGAAAATTTAAGATGACTATTTGCATTTTGTAAGGTTTAGCTTGTGTCTTTTAATACATATAGACAAAAAAGCAACTGTATAGGCATTTGGTAGACTTGAGAAGTGCGTTTTTGAAATGATTAAAATCTATTCTATAAATTATTAAACTCTCACACACCGAAAGTAAAGTGACTTTGAGAGAGTTAGTGTTGGATTCGGTAATCAAGAAGGTGTTATAATGCATCAAAAAGTTGACAGAAGAAGCTAGAATAAGCTATTAAAAATRACTTTTTCTTGAGGCTTTGCAGAACTCTTTTTTAATAAAATTCGACTTTCCATTTGTTGTGGAGTACAGATCTTCTTGTGGTACTCTACCGAGGAGGGAGGGGTGGGGGATTTTGGTTTGGTACTTTTTCACTTCCAAATGGGACATATATCAAAAGCTTCAATGGATTTAATCTGATTTAGAGGAAACAGCTATATCTTAAAAACGTGCCTAGACACCAGACTAAATGTAAGCTTTTAAGCCAAAAATCTAGTCTTGATTACTTAATTTTTAGAGCCGGCTTCAATGGAAGCGATGCGAGGGAAGAGCGTGCTTGTTCAGTTTAGTTTAACAATTATCAATATTRTCATACTCGTGGGCCGATGATTTGATAATATAGAAAACACAGCCGGCCGGGGTGGTTTCGCCTACGAGAATTTGACGGTGAAAATTGAATTTTTAATAACAATTTTCTTCTTTGAAGCTACCTCAAGCAGAGAAAAATTAACTTTTGCGACAGGATTGTGTCAAAGTAATTACATGATTGTGTTCAGTGTAAGTATATATTTTGGACATTTGTTATTTTTTCACGTAAGGGCTGTATTTATCCAAATTATTGCCGTCGAAAGTAACAGATTAAAACAAAAGAGAAGGCTTCATTGACTTTTTTATGCCGTGCTGSCAGCATCCACGAGTCTAACTCTATTAAGAGCATTGTTGGGCAAAAGCATATGGACATATAATCACTAATAAGACTTGACGTACTTTCCTGTTGTTGTTGTTTTGGTCTTTATTATGTTTGTGTGTGTGTGTGTGTTACAAGTTCATTTACGTCATGTAATTWCCAAAGACAGTGTTTACCTTTTGGGACCTGCATTAGTATAGGAATAGCTCACTTGCTAATAACTTCAAAAAAGCGTCAAATGCAAAAGCTTTCACCATTGGAGTAGATTCCTTCGTTATTTGTCCTCGAATCAATATATGAAAGTGAAAAACGCATAACTTTACAAAAGTTTAAACTGGAATATATATACATTATCATTATAAATAGAGGATATTAAATGGGCGCGCGGAGATAAAAATTTTATCTTCGAGTGTTGAAAAGATCTCTCACAAGTGAGCGTAGCGAAGTATATAGAGAGAAACCTCGAATATAATATTTTCACTAGTGCAAATAACAACTTTACGTATTGGAGAACTATAGGTATTTCATAGATAATTATATGATAAATACGTTTAATCTTTGCGCAAGCACACGGCCTTGGCTTTGGCTAGGAACGTGACTAAAATCGTCATTACAATGCAAGCTCACACATTTTMWTAGTAAAGGAACAATGACGGGAATGTGTTAGACTCAGAGTTAAYACAGCAATAGCCTCTTTTTCACACTGCTATTTGTATAGGAGGTAAACCTAAACTACGCTATTTGTTAATTATCCGTATCTACAGCGCTGTACGCTCTTTATAAATTATGATGCTTAGATAATTGATTAGGAAGAGAGAGTTTCTTTGTTGTCTGTTTTGTATTCAGTTGAGAAAGCCACGTTTTTAATAAACTTATATAAAATGAGCAGTGTCTTCAAACGAACAATGCGATAGACAGCTGGAGGCACAATTCATGACTAGTAGCATTCTTTTAATGAAAAAAAACAACAGAAGAATGGAAGAAGAATGTGCGTGTGTGTTTATATCTACAGGATTCGGGAACATTTTCACTACAAAATTCAAGGACTTTTCAAGTACTATTAAAAGCACAAAAATGCCATTTCCAAGGACTATTTTTGAAATAATTTTTTGATGATCAAAAATAGCCATATTTCAATCCAAACGGCAAAAAGCAACAACAAGTTAATTACATCAGATTCAAGGAATTTTCCAGTAGTTTCAGCGAATTTTCCATTTTCAAGGGCTTTTCAAGCGCACTTGAAAACCGATTTTCAATTTCAGGACTTTTCAAGGATTTTAACGAGTAGCTCGAACCCTGTATTTATGTATTTATTCATTTTTTAAATATTTTGTAAATATACTGAACTTTTCTTGTAAGTAATACTAAGAAATTTTCGTATTCAGCGGGAAAAAAGTCTTTCTCCTCCCAATATTCACATTATATGGCATTGAAAAAAAATGGCGTTCATCTTTTGAGTATTAGCCCTTTAACTTTACAATCAATGTCGGAATAATTTACAAGTTAAAAGATTTAGTCGGAAGTCTTTTTCAAGTGACATACAGGTACGTGTAGCAATAAACCATATAAACTTTGACATGGCGCTGGAAATTCCTTAATAAAATAATAAATTGGAAACATTTATGACTGTATTTCATATCCCAGCCTAGCAAGCCAATGAGCTTCATGGGATTACCATCTGCGCACGAGGGGATATGGAATCCAGAGGGTCATGATTTTAACTTTTATTACTGTAAGTAACCCTAGTAAAATCTACTAAAATAACAATAAAACCAGAACATTTTCCCCAATTTATTTCTCTTATTTATGATCCAAGGGATCAGTCCATCTTATAACAATTTTTATAGTACCTTAACGTCTACTACAGGGGAAAAGCAAGTAGACAATCTTCTCACTTCGAACTTGGGATAGGATGGGAGGGGGGATTTGTTGGGTTTTATCTGAAAATTCGAGAGATTCGCTAATGAAAATTTAGCTAGTAAATCAGAGCGCTTTATTATCTTTAAAGCACAAAACACATCTAATCAAATSCACACTGCATCGATGAAGATTTCCACGATTTCACCTGGTAATTTTCTCTTACAAGTGCAAGCAATTACCGAAGAACGACTAGAACTATGAGAGAGTTCTCAGAATTATAAACTGATGATATATATAAATATAAGTTTAATCTGTGGACTATTCAAATCCAACAAATACCGCATGCAAACACACTCTAAATCTTAATATGTAAAAATAAAATATATCATAAGTAGAAAACCAAGTTACAAGTTGCGTGTCTTTTTCTTCATTTATTCTATTTATAAAATATATCATYTTTATAACTATTCTATTATTCATATATTTGTAATAATTATTGAAGCATCTTATTATCTAGCTCAGATCGTTYGACGTGCTAATGCTGAATATCTAATTTTCGCGAAATCACTTCTGTTATACTAGTTCCGTAATTCAAAATCCAATGTTTAAGAATTACTGCACTTTTACAATAGCTTTTRAATAGTGTATGTGTCAGAACGCTGTCAGAACAAAACAGGCCGTTTAGCTACGTTAAGTATAATGAATTCGAATCTTTCGCCGGCGTTGGTATGCGCGCGGTCATGKCATAAAGTTAACCTGTTTATCACTCTCACGAAAAGAAAAACATACTGATCCTTTTTATATGTTACACAATAATATCTTTCTTGATCTCCTATGGATTATTCTTCTCCCTGATATCTTGCAGYTGATTCACAAATTTATTTGCATGCATTCTTTTAATAGCAACCGGTCGAAATCGACTGTTTGTGSACGTTTGTGAAGGTCGACGCGGGAAAACAAACTGAAGCTCTTCTTGGCATTCTAAATCTTCTGTAAAATACAGATTTGACAATGTTATTGCACTCTCTCTTCTATTTTCTTCAGGCAGCGGCTCTGAAACGATAACRCTTGGCTCAGGAGACGAGCTCGCGGTGGTACTTTCAACTGGCAAAGTATTGCTTTGGYTGCTTTCTAACTGAAGTACCATTTGTGTCAGCTGCATGTCCTCATCCGTAGATTCCATTTCCATCATTTCTAACAACACTGTCATTTTCTTCAACCGYTCGTGAATCTCTATGATGTTACATTCGTTCTTACGGACGTCTGTTGGACTCTGTCCTTGRTCAAMTCGACTCTGCGTAATCTGACTCTTGTTTCTCGTGTTTTTAGAAAAGTCCGGCCCTTGTTGCTCTATGATGATCTCACTGTGTGTTTCGTGGTGTGTTTCTGACTTGTGATCMACTAWTAATGGTTCAGTGTCTTTAGCACAACGAATAGAAGAASCAGAGAGACTACCTTCTTTCTGTGTATCCGGTATGTCTGTAATTTTCGATCTCCTAAAGTTAAAAAACGAGATTACTCGCTTTTTCAAATATTCCATAAATTCAAATTCCTCTTCTAATGCCGACAATCGCTTCTGTTCGTTCATACGGGCTTCATAAAGTATAGCAAGGAATACATTGACCATTATAAACATCATAGTTAGAATAAATATTACTATATAGAACGGCGCTAGAACCCGGTTTCTCTTTTCTAGAATCCAAAGATCGGATACCCCACCAAGAAACATCTGCAAATTTGTAGCAAGCGCATTGTACATATTTGAAAATGCGACATCTTCTGTGCCAAAGAGCAAAATACCAAGCTGTGAATATGCCAAGAGGAGAACTGTAAAAACAAGTGAGAAAGGCGCCAAATCTTTAAATGACACTCCTATCGTAGAGGATATTAACACTATTCGGAGGTCGAGTTTGATGAGTTTGAGTAATTTCAAAGTCGAGACAAACACCAATAATGCTAAAATGCTGTCYTCGATATCGATTGCCATGAYAACGTAGTCGAAGCTGAGATCAYTGTAAGGGTTGGCTTKAATTTGCCGTATGACGTCAGATGTRTAAATTCCTCTGRTGATCTGTAAAACGACTGCCCCTACACTGAGAACAACTAGTATTATATCAAKACAATTCCATACGTCTYTACAGAAAGTACATTTCAATTTGACCAGTCTAACGCACACCAATACGAAATARAACAAAGCRAACACCAGAAACAGAAGCTGAAACACCAGGAATGACACAGTGTTTGAGTAAAGTGGTATCGAATGGATCTTATACGAGGCTAAACCAGCTCCAGTTGACATTTTTTCATACAAAAAGCTCAAGAAACTTGCGTACTCGGTGTTGACATTGAAGACGCTGAACACAATCAGGACAGCACTGGATCGTGGATCCAACCACTTTGAAGTAGAAAGTTCATTAACTACACGTGAAGCTGTATTTGATTGATATCCAAGATGTGCCACATATCCTCCCCCACCGTAAAGACTCTGTAAACCCCAGTAGGGTAGGGATGTRATTTCGTCAGAGGTGTGATATTTCCAAGGCTTTGGACATGTCTCAGRWGTTAGTGTTTGGTTAACGTAGCTTGCAGGTGCTATTCTTTTCCACTCTGGATAATTTAGTTTAGTTGTATATTCTCTGTCCATTGAGTACGAAGTCACGCAACGTGAAATGGTTGATTGGAAGATTTTTGGAATTGTGCAATGCCCTGGAAAAGAGGCAAAAATTGAATACCATCGTATCCATTTGATTGATATACCAAAAAATACTTTTGTCACTGACCTTCCTGGACACGTATCTGTCTCATACGAGGCATCCCAAGTAGTATGGATCGTTTATCGTTGATGTATGCCTTATTTGCTACTTCCTGTCCATTGTACCAAAATGTTCCGAATAATCCAGGAACAAGTGTACTTCCAAGCCACTCGTAAAATGAGTTGTCGTCCGTTACCTAAATATGYACAATATAAATCACTATACAGGTGCCATCGTATCGACAAATTCATTTATATATGATGAATAAGGATTTGTTTCAMCTACCTGATCAAACTCAGCGAAGTTTTCTTTAAGGGCGTTGTTCATTAGGAACCCATATTTTGTACGAGATCCATAACACACGAGACACAGCAGGATAAGGAACACCAAGTACAAAGCGATCTCTTTAGCTGTGCTGATCAATCTCGTTTCCTTCTTCATAACTTCTTTATGTTCCTTTTTCTTCTCTTCTGAAAGAGGCTTAATTCCCCCATCATCGTTTTCTGATACCTCATCCATCTCATATTGCTTAGCCTTACCCTGCAAAGGCTTGTYAGTATCCAAGCGAACACACTTTGTTTTCTTGCTGAATTTACTAGTAAGTAGTACGATAATAACTGCGATKATGATTATTTTTGCAGGTTGTATAACGAAAAGGTCCTGGACTAATGAMACGATCATTGATGTTAGCCATTGATTGCTAATGTCAGTACCCCATTGCATGCTGTAGAAGATGGTGAATGTTGCAGATGCGACAACACAGAGAAATRAAAGAAAATAGGCAGTCCCTTTTACAAAGTTTGATAATTTTGCTGGCCTTTTCCGTTTGAACATTAAGTTGTCGTCAAAAGGATCTAGTTCTTCTTTTTGTCGTTGTTTACTTGCAATTTTAAAAAGCTGCACAATGATTAAGTTTATKGGAGCAACRATAAGACTGCTCTCGATCCCTATGATGATCTGTCTCAAGCTGAACTGRAGTGGGCCGATGTTAAAAGTTTTMTCCGTCTTACCACCGATAGTGTAGAACATTGCATTTGCAATCATGGCGGAGAARAGCAGAGAAAGACAACATGTAGCACGCTGTACTCGAGTGAAATAGTTCATTGGACTCCTTGCAAATACAGATACCCAAAGATGCTCTTCGACAAAGCTATGTGTTGTTTTATCTTTTATTGATTTCTTTCCTTCAAATGTGTGAGGTTGACTTTGCAAAGTTCTTTCAAGTGCGCCGTCATCACTGAGTACATCCAACCAGCGGTCACATGGAAAGTCCCATGTACTCATACTATTTAAATCCGTTATTTGAATTCCACGAAGAAACCAAGAAGGATTTTTTCCCGAGTTGTCGTGCCAAATAGAAACATTCTCGAGTTCTCCAAAAGAAGAGGAAGTATGAATAATAAACTTGTCAATGTTTCCTCGTCCAAAAAGCCGTCTTTCTTGGTATTCATCTTGATATATTGAGATGACATCGCTTTGATTATCTGTTCCTGTGATTAYCATTGCAACGTTGGCCGTTGTTCCACTTTGGTACCATAGTCCTGTATGAACTGCAACTTCGTAGGATGCGCTGTGGAACGGCTCATCGCGTAACTGAATTTGAGGACCAACCTGAAATGATGACAAGTGTAAAGGTTACACCTTGTAAAATGTGATGCGGGAAAAATGGTTAGTCTGCTCAATCTAAATCAGACGTACGTGGAGACATAATCACAGTCAAAGAGTCATAAGGCTGTTAAGTAAGAACATATAAAATTGAATGGGGATCTAAAGGAGAACGGCATCACCTTCCGATGAATGAAGTGGATTTCAGGTCGAAGTAAAACACGATCTTAAAGRGTTTCACTGCAAAGGGTAGTATGCACATTGAGGCACATGATACCGGTCCAACAAAAAAACAAACCCGAGTCCCTATTAATGCCTTTTAATGTTTGGTGTTAGTTCATTTTAACTTGAGGAACCAGAATGATGTAACTGATWATTTCTGAGCTGAATACCTTGACTTGGTCCTGCTTATCAGCTCGCCTACACAACAACACAACAATAAAGTACAGCAAAAAGATTGCMACTACGAAACCAATGACACCGAAGTTTTTGGTTTGGTCCAGTTGACTGAAGCCCAGGATGACCACGTCAAAGTCGATGGGATTTGGTGCCACAAGAAAGTCACCTCCAAATGACGTCAGATGGGTGCAGAGACATTTGAGACTTGACGAGGTRGACTCKTTGGCAGCCTGAGAATGAAATGGAGATATGAATAATGACTAATACCTGTGTGTCATATTTASCTGTGTGTAAAGCGAATAAGATAAAGAAAGTCAATTTTTATTCTGTCTAAGAACACACTACTCATTCAGTGTAGCTAGTGTTATCTTCTATCGATGTTGTGCGGTCACTTTGGGGATTTTGGATCGATAGTCATAGCTACAATCTCTGAAGCATTCCTAGATTCATTACGTTGGAGAAGCTATGTTTTACAATACACATGGATATATTGAAAGATCATTGATTATACAAATGTAACTCTTACCTGACAACCTTCAGATGTCCATTTTTGAAGTRATTTTGACCAATATAGACARCTGGACATGGATGTACTTATCGATACATTCAAATCACGGTTAGGATCATAKAYAGGCTTTATAGTGATATTCTGTGGGGAAGGAGTGGTRGGAGGATCTCGAATTTCTACGCAGGATCGTTTTTGTCTTCCATGTCCCTCACAAGACCTCCTGACACGTCTTTGAGTAACTACACTTTTTTGATAAACTAGCCCTACGAGGTAAACTCCTTTGMTGYTRAACACAGATCCTGGAATATTGATGGCGTAAGGGTCACGTGCTGATAAATCAGGCACCTGCGTCTTGAAATCATATTTGCCATTTGTTGGTCTTTCTCCTAGTTTTACAAACACACTAACTGTGACTCCCTTTGAATCTAATCCAATATTCATATGGAGAGCAGAACCAGGAATATCAACGCTTAATCGTCTATACTGCATCTTGTCTCCAAAACTTGGTTTCAAGAAAGTCTGTTCTTTTGGTGGAGTCTTGTCGGAGTCGTTGCCACGAGGGATTGTCATTGCTATTGGAGATRGCAGATTAGTGATATTGATGTCACTCCCAGCTTTATCCATGAGAGAAAGACTGACTACAAACGATGAAACAYGTTTACTTGTTGTATCCCACGTGTATGTATTCTTAAGTGTCAGCACCATCTAGAACAAGCCATAAAAATAAACATAAGACATTATCTTACTTGATTAGCTGATTAATCGAGTGATTAACGATCTATATCTCACGATCTTTAGTGAGTTACCTGTGTGTCCACAGTTGATAAGGTATCCATCTTATYCCCACCAAACATGTCCTCGGCTGATGGCAGGTCAAATCTACTGTCTCCCTCTGATATTGTTGAGTTWCCCAGATCCACAATCTTACTTCTAGCGAGAACCAATGACATGAAWGATGTCTTGAAGACTGCTGGTTCTTCACCAGGTGTCATGCGCGATTGAATCGAAGCTGCGACCACCTTCACAAGCCTTTCACACTCCTTTGCACGAATTACGCTCTACAAAGTAGGAAAAGAATTGATCGCTATCACTTACTATAATATGCGTTTATGGGGTGATACAGAGAAAACCATATCCCATGGATGTCAGCTTGACCACGATTATCATATCATATCATCAGTAACTTGCCTTTTTTTTGTCCGATGTCGTAGAGTTGGTTACGTTTTGCTGTTTATCGCCGGTCGATTCAATTTTTGCATCTTTCGATGCTGCATTCCAGATGTTGCTGATACCATATAACATATTTTGTCCTCCCTTGTCGAGGTCACTAGATTGTTCTTCATYATTCTTAGATTTCGATACTAGCACGTCTGCCAAATTTTTAAAAGCCAACATAGACGCGCTCTGAAAATAATATTGTATTRTAAGTATTGTATTAAACTATTCAGATGTGGAAGCTTATCTACTTTCTTTAAATGAAATGTCAATCAAAAATGCATTGAGAGGCGTACAGCGAAATGAGTGCATGATTTGTTTAACTATTTAACTACGTTTGCATGTACCGATCCAAACTCAGTCAGAAGTGTTTAGAAGTATACAAAATCCGAACCAATTACATCAGGAACGTTTGCAGGGGTTCCCCYTCCTCTCCTTTCTCCCTGGCAGACGAAGTCTTTGAAATATGAGAGTTTCTTGCCAAATCAATAGGTTAACAAATTTTCGGTTTTTCYGTTGTAAATCCAAAACAATTATACTAATACAATTGTTCCGGCAGTTAATGGTGCGCCTTCTTCACAGTCTTGAAACCGTACTGAAAACAAAGCTGAAAACTCCTCTTATGAAACACATTTACACGCCCCAGTACAGTTACCTGAGATTCTTGAGTCAAGATTTCGTCATTTTTTGTTGCCGAGGCAAGGACTGATGAAATTTGTGTTAACGTCTGTATGGTTTGAACTTTTATTCCTTGCATTTGGTCTATAATGGATGTCACAATCTGTAGAAATAATATCAAAATAAATATATATACTTTTAGAAAGCCAAACCGTGAARAAGAATCTAGGATACCTGCTGTTTAGTGACTATCGTCAGCGTTGCATTATCATCCGTCTGTCCTGGAGAATCCATAAGGTCCAGAGCACCGTTYGCTATTTGAGTAGCACTATCAATATCACCAGTCCTTAACAGCTTTGCCATGTCGCTCGATYTCCCAACTGTAAGACTCTGYAAGGTGCTGTCTAGGGTGGAGTTCTCCTGAACTTGCTTAGGTAAAACCTGATCAACAATATAMATTCAACATATTAGATCATCGTGATATAGGATTCGTATAATAAGTGATAAACAAATACGAAGGAGGAAATGGGTAGGACAATTTGAAATAATGCTATCTGTCTTATAGAGCGTAAACACTAGAACATGAAAAACTTTGTCAAATGTTCAAAATTRTACCATTGTTTTTGTTTTAGCATTATTTCTTGATAGTACGTTTTAATGCTTTTAGGATATATAGACMAAATGCGTCTGTAGCGCAGGATCGTGATTCAGTATACGGACCTTCACACTTATGCTTGTAGAATTTGAAGCCCCAAACGAATCCGAAATSAAGACTTCAATATCCATGTTGTAGTCTTGACTAGCGAGTCCTGCTGGGAGCTTAACTGTCGCCGATGATTCCGATCCATGATAAAGTATTCCGTAAGYACCGTCCGGTTTTTGGTATCTAAACTCATAACTCAAAGGCATTTGTCCATCAATCCAACCGATGCAATTTAACTTGAAATCTGTAACTAAAGATTCGCCTTTYTGAGTAGAAGTCGAACAGTTTCCACCATAAGGAGGAGAATTGGTAACAAACATATATTCGTTTGACGTCTTTGTACGCCCCGGTGTAGATACTTCAACATWAGTACGATATGARCTTCCACCTTCGAGTTTGCTTGGCAGAACAACAAACCCTGGAGAAGTCTGTTTGGTTGATATTAATGTCGTYAATCCTTCTATTTTCTTCCAGATGAGATCAATCTTTATCTCCATTGACCATGAATAAGCAGTTTCACTATTGCACCCATCTTGACACGTGACTTCTAAGCTTAGCTTTGACGATGGGTTGACGGCACTTGATTGGCAGTTAGCATTACATCTGGAATGCATTAGATATTAAATACAATATTATACATGATAGATATTGATAAAAAAGAGCTCCAAGACATGTACAAAAGTAACAAGATCTTGGACAAGAAGAGTMTTCCTTCAATGTTAAATCGTATTTGATACTGAAATATGGCATTGCTCATACCTTATCTGTGTGTTTGGTGGATCACCATTCACTATATTTACTATCTGACTTGCTTGGATTTTTCTTTCACCTTTACTCAACAGAACAACAAACTCATAACKTTTCTGAACGCCAAGAAGTCCACCTTCAATTGTTATCTTTTGCGKTGTTGACTGAGGCGGTAGCTTTCCAATACCTGTACCAAAACATCCCGAACCACCTCCAGGGGTGAGTGAAATAACTGGCAATGCGTTTAGGTCTTTATTAGGCCACACTTCGCCAACCTTACGACATAACCACGTGAACGATATCCCATCATTCTTATGGACCCCAGAAACATCCGGGTCATGCGAATTTGAAGCATCAAGAGTGAAAGGATGTGTGAATCCTTTGGTGACAGCACTACCGCCTGCAATACTTGCGACCAGTGGCGAGSGATTCACATTAATAATACCATAGCTCCAAACTGTTTCTGTTGTAACACTCTTTCTCGTTACATAAAAAGAAATCATATGCAGSCCGTAGTCTAAAGAGTTTCCCCCTAAATATAACTGTGCTGTCTGGTTATTCAACGTCTTTTCAGGTCCATTGGCTTTTCCTTGGCTGTCTAGCTTGGTTGAAGTCCATTTAAAACTGTAAACTACATTTGGTCCATCGCAATCTAGTTTAGGTATGATGCCTGTGAGAGTAACAGACTGAGAGCGTTTTGCGTCCCGTGGATTACTCATTGTTGATATTGGATTGACGGAGACAGTAGGCACGGGGCATGCTGAATCATCTGTGGGCATGATAAAGATTGGAACATTACTATCAAAACATATTATTTTTCTTTACGTATAAAATAAATTTGTCAGTTTCCTTCAAGTTMTTTCCAATGACGGGTCATTATTTATCAGGCCTGTAGGCTGCCTTCGCTTATCATAATGCGGACCTGAATTAAGTGACTAACTAAATTTAGTTCAATGCACAGGTATAGTGTGTAAGAACTGCCTGCTAGAATTGAGAAGCTCATAACTAAATACTATCTTAAAAACAGCTCATAACGAAAGAATTTAATTTAAAAGAGAATAATAAACAAAGATAAACACCGGAACCTTTAAGACTACGGGCCTGTTTATTGAAAGGAAGAGTTGAGTGAGGCTGGTGCAAGTGTGATGTCGGCATCAGACATTATCATTAGACTTCTATAACTCAAATAYATCTAATTTCTCAGAATACATTTCTCATAATATATAGTATTGGTATGCATACCACTTATATTTCCGGACGTGACTGCTGAGTTTGGGTCGACTGTTAAATTTCCAAGGTTTCCCTGCTTTACGGCACTTTTGAAGTTGTCTTGAACTTCGTTAGAGGAATCTTGGGCAACATTTGCTGAGAGTTTGGCAACGACACTACCTTTCCTGATCAATTAAAATGATTAAAATGAATCTATATTTTATTAATAACTACATGTTTTATATTATACATTATTGTTTGGGGTCCCTGTGTCTTTCTACCCAAGGCCAGGTTACAAGGTCCGAACATGGCCGACGTACATTTTGACAGTAGTCGTTCGCAACATCTGGATGTTTTATGCATTCCTATGCACTACAAGTGATGAAAAATAATCCATTCTTTCGATAAAGGTAAGATTAGTTTCTAAATATAATTTAAAAGTCCGTTGTGAGTCTAATTCAATTCTAATCCTATAAGTGAAACTTCAATGAAACTTTACTCCATGAGGGACTACAAATAGCTTCAATTTATATGCTCATTACTCAATGTTTTTGGCAAAAATTCATTAAAACTTACGAGAAAGTGACTCCCCATTCTGCGTTATACAAATTCGTCATCTGAAACAAGAAATGAAATGCAGCTTTTGAGGCATGTATAATGAGACAAGCAGCTACACAGTAATAGTATATTCAAAGGACACTTGACTTGAATTAAATTTGATATCAGATGAAAAACAGTCTCGGCTAGCCTGGTGACTCTTTTTTCCTCCTTTAGGCTTCCTTTGTAATAGTCAAATTTACCCTTCGGGACTAGTGACCCCCCTCTCTCACTCCCATTCCCACAAGCAAAAAGACAGGAAGCCCGTGCACTATTAGTGATGCCTGTGGAGGAGTATCAGCTACAGTGGTGTCGGCGTAAAGGATGTGGTTAAGGTCCGACCATTAAACCATGTAATTAATAAATTGTGAACGGTTTTGAGTTGCATTCCCTCTTATCATTGTCTTATTGACACACTGTAATCAGCCAACCAGCGAGCGAGAATTCACGCAAGCGTGATGAAAGTTAATTTTGCTTGCCGTAGCTCATCATGAGATGTCCGGACAACTTAACTGCCGAAATCGTTGACATGCCATAACCGCATCCAGTGAGCTGAGCTATAGTGCACATGCGCAGTTGAATTAAGCGTTATACTCACCCAGCTTATGATTTGAATGGACAGCTCCTGGTATTCGCTTGATGCCTTGTTCAACAATGCCACGCTGAAGGCAACAGAGGTAATCTTGAGCGAGCAGTAGATTGACACTTTTGAAACGTTCTTTTTTGARCCTGAGAAGCAAACATTTATAACATTTATACACTATTTGGCATAAATGAAGGAGTGAACAATACTCAAATACAAAGTTTAAAAATTCTTAACTTACTATTGTTGCACAACACAGTAGGTAAAGCTGAAATGCAAAAAAAAAAGTTTGATTTGTCTTACAGTTTGAAAACGTATTGAAAAAGCGTTGCCATAGAAATATAGAACAATATCAACTATTTTTAGATAATATTTGCAAAATGCAACTCATTTGATTTAAGGTCATAGAAATTGATTCAGATTACTGTGAAACCTCGCCTTACGTAAAATAGGCTACTCCATTATAACGTCCAAAGTGAATTGAGCACTTGTACTCTCTGCTCGGTTAAAGCGACCACCCCGCTCATACGGTCACTTTTCGATGTCCTTTCGGTGACCGAATAAACGGGATTCCAGTGTAGATGACTATCTTTGCCTTTTGATTTATTCCTATTTGAAACTTATAATTTTAAATCCCTATGTCATCGACGACTAGAATAACGTCAACAAGTCCTTCACCAAATAATATTTTATACATATATAAACAAATAAYAACCTGAGGAATGTTCCTGATARACCAAAGAACCTGGAKAGACAGTAAAGTTGCCAAGYGYGCCACTTTGTATAGAACTGTTGAACACTTTCCCAGCTTGATGACTGACATTTCGATCGACTTCTCCTGAAAAAATCGCTGAGCCATCCGACCTTCGATTAAATCAAAATGAGAACCTCAGTTTCAAAAAATGAGAACATCAGTTTCAAAAAGTCATCAAAGTCGATTCGCGTAAGTAGGCTGAAATACATACCGAAACTGAACGACATGTAAATCTCGAAGTTTCCCCAGAAATCCGTGACCATTCATTATTTCAAGAATCTGAAAATTTAGAAGTTAAGATGAAGCATTATGAAGTAACGTTCGTGRAAGTTGCTTGCAGGCATTGGCGCTTTTTAAATGAGACTAAGCTACTTACTGCTTGAATCAGTTTAGTCGAGAGACTCAAAAACCTGGAAGAACATCGATCGGTCAAACCAGACTCGTTGTAATTCCCGATGTTYAGATTAGTTATTTGAATGGTACTGGTAAAATAGACGATCGACCCACTTGAATCTAAAACAACATTACAGTCCATCGCTTGATAATGCACATTATGACAATAAAAACACTTAAAAGTGCAGTGTTATAAAAGGATACCGTGGAAGCCATATCCCTTGATGTATAATATTTTCACGTGCTTGCAAGTCTTGGGTGTGGTCAGTGATRTTATGCTTAGTGATGCAATGGTTTTGTGAGAATACATGGAAATCCTCTTTATTTGAACTTACCATGTTTGCAAGTCACCAAAGAAAAGCCTTAAAGAAACAAAATCATTATCAGAAGGTAAAAGATACGCTTCAGTTATATAGACAACAGCAGTGTACCAATAAATAACTCTTTAACGAAAAAGAAAATTGCTTTTCATTTGGAAGTAAACAATGAAGTGACTCCAACCTGATAGATGCTCCTGATACTCCAAATGATATGGTTCAACCTTCACATTACCAAGTATGCCAGTTCGTAAAGTACTGTTGAACACATCCCCAACTTGAGTACTGACATTGCGATCTACTTGTCCTGAAAAGTTCGCTGAGCCATCGGGCCTTGCAAAGAATTGGTATTAAAATGAGCAATAAACATCATTGACAAGTTCCAGAACACTTAGTCAAGAATCCTTGACTAGAATATACTTACAGAAAGTGAAGAAATTGCAGTTGTCGGACAKTTCCAGCAAATCCGTGTCGAGTCATTGTTTCATAAATCTGCATGATAGAAATAAATTGAGAGATTATCAATAAGTGTCACTGCAGAAACATTTATTGTTATCAATGTTTTTCAACCATTTYGATGAAATTAATCAACTTACCGCATTGGTCARATTGGCTGAGAGATTCAAGAACTCAAAAGAACATCGATCGCTCCATAATGATTGGTTAAAATTCCAGTTGCCAAGAATCTTAACCTTGCTACTGAAATACAGAACTCCACTACTTGAATCTAAAAATTAATAATAGGAAGAAGTTTTTGCTTGATTGCGCTGTGCAGGTAAATAAGTGTTTCCTAAAAAATAACGCCTGATGATGATTGTATCAATGAAATACTATTTTTATATGCATACCWATTATATTGGTGCTAGAGAATACCACAGAGTTTCGATCCACTTCCATAYTTCCAAGACTGCCATTCCGTATGCCATTGTGAAAGATTTCTTTTAATTTTTCGACGGATATTTGAAGTGTGTTGAAGTCCACTTCTAGCTGTACAATAACACTGCCATTCCTAAAGAAAGTTTCTTTTACTTAGCTTGTCAAGTCCTTTCTCCTTTACTTAATTTTAAACCTGGTCATTTTCTATATATACTTTCGATCAGTGGTTCAACTTACAAGAATTGGTTGACATTCCACTTTGCAGTGATGCCAAGCTGTTCATATAGCGCTTGTATCTGAAACACATGACAAATAACCAAAATATCGAATATGAGAGAAACTTGATCTTCATACCAAATTCTAATGGAAGATTTGGTAGCAATTTTCCGAGTACAGCGTTTGACTTACCGAAGTAACGATTTCATTGGACAACTCTTTAAATTCGCTTGATGTTCTGTTCAACAAGGAAACATGGAAGGGGATAGAGGTTATCCTGAACGAGCAGTAGATTTTTGACCATTTCTCATCTGAAAGTGAGTTTCAAGTAGATAACATGATTATAGTGACACTACAATTATAGGCCATCAAGCTCATATTGAACGGGTTGTCAAAGGGACAACAAAATGCTTATGGCAATTGTCATTTCTTAATTTCAGTTTTAACTCACCATGTTTGCAAGTCACCACTGGAAAACCTAAAAAAGGGAATTCCAAGAGAAGGTTAATAGAGCTTCATCAATGCAATTTTAACTCAATTCAAGAGATATATCCAGTATATTTTTATTAAGCTGTAGAATAATATCTCTAGTGAAGAGATGTCTCCCAAAACAGACACATTACATGGAAACCAACCTGATAGATGCTCTTGATACTCCAAATGATATGGTTCAACCTTCACA